GATGACGTTATGCAGTCAACCCAATTTTATATGAAGTATATAAATGGAGCTATCTTGGTCAATTTGCAGGGCAGACCATTGAAACTTCGTGGGCTAATAGTTCTACAGGATACACACCTACTGCTATAAAATATTCTGTTCCCATGGCAACTGACTCTTTTCCAGTCCCTACCCACTTGATTTCAATATGCTAATGATTTTCAGCTTGCAAAACATTAAACAAGGCCACAAACTTGAGCTAACACATTTATATGCTTGCTGGATCATGCATATGAGGTGCAATTTGCAAATATCAAAATGGAACACCAAAGGTGGCCAGAAAGGCCTTTAATATTGGGGAGGCCAATATATTGCCATGTTAACCAAACTGTTAAGCTCATATTGTGGAGCACATTTAGTAGAATCTTACTGTAAAGAATCAAACATTTCTGATACAAATTGGCTGAGATATATTTTTTTCATCATATTTGATCAAAATTTGGTTAAGTGTATGACATCATGACTGGGCTAATTTGGATATTTTAAAAACTTGAATATTTCTGGAATGAAAAAAGACATTTGAATGTTGTAAACAGCATTTTTCTTCTCGCAAAGGCTACTTGTTTATGTTTTAAAATTGCTGCGATAGGAAAGATGCAATTTTCGTCACAGTACCACTTTAAGGAGTGCTTCTTGGTGAACTGTAAGAGACCCTCTTTAACATTGCCCATTTTTGAGATAAATTAGTTTCCGTGTTTAATAAAATACTGTAAATGAGGTGTTATAGGTGGTACAACAATATAGATTCACACATGTACATCAAAACCAGTGTGATGATCATCAGCCATGTTCGCAGTTTCCACCAGAAAGATAATTGCATCTTGCTGATGGTTTTAATTCCTTGGATGTCTGACTGGTTTGATTAAAAGAAACCATGTGCTCCAAGTGGTTCCTCTAATTTTCATTGAAAATAAAATTGTTGCTTGTATTGTATTTTGTAGGCATGAACTTGAAAGCTCAGGAAGTGTAAGTTGGTAAGTTTTGTGGACTTTAGAGGTTTAGTATAGATTTGGTGTATTTGTGAATTATGTTACCTGCAAGTTATAATGTGTGGAATGATGTGCAACTTTTTTCCCCATCATATCGACAATGATGATAAGCTCTTTGCCACCCTGTGGCAAGCCAGAACTGTCTGACCACACCATCCCTTTGCCATGTGGGTACTATGTATACGGGACTTCTTGGGGGAGGGAAAATCTTACATTAGATTACAAAGGTAGTGAACAGTATCAAAGGTACAGTGAAGTATGTTCTGATGGAGCAGGGGTTTCTTAAGGGACTGGGCACCGGGCAAGTTGACTGGTTGTGAAGACGATTTTGCCCCCCGGGTTTGACCATCCAGCGGAAAGTGTTTCTTACAAAGAAGTTCGGTTCTGATAGTTTTACCCGCCTTGCCCTCTGGCGAAAAATGTTAACGAAACCACTGATAGAGTGAGGTACTGCTGTTCCAAGTTGCAACCCATTTTAGCCTTTTCTTTGCCAAACTTTGACAGTACTCAATAGGCTGTTCTTATTCAAATGGTTTACTGCTGTTGTAATATTGTGAGAATAACCAAAAATGTGTTCTTTCATTTGCAGAGTTTTCCATTTCAATGGGAACGAACATGAAATATGTGATGGACAAATATTGCGGCCAATATTATATTTAAAGTTGAAGATAAAATAAAGATTGATTAACTTCACTTCTCGATAACATTTATTGGGTGGTTGCGTTAACAGAAAATTGAAGTACTCTACTGGTGTGGTATATGAACTCGTTGCATAAGTACTGCTTGTGGCTGTTTATTTAAATGAACAAAATAGTAAGGTGAGGTGGGATAGGATTTTGTGCTGCCATTCTGATCGTGGTGTTTTTAACCAGCTGCTTTTGAGGCCCCTTTTCTTTTTCCTGTTTCTTATGAGCATTAACTGAAATTTCTGTGTGAAAATTCTTGGCTTGTCATGTATGGTGCAAGAAAACCGAGGGAAAAGGATATAACTTGGTTGTATGTGGTAATTGCAGAACATTTCTAACTGTCCAGTGATGTAAACCATCTGCTCAGCATGTTTATTTAGTATCGGTGGAGTAAGCCAGTCCTCACTTGTGACCCAAGCATAAACATAAGCATGAGGAGCTTATGCGCTAGTGAGGACAGCCGCGACATAAGCATAAGCTTTCTTCTTATGCTTATGCTTATGTTCAGTGAGGACATCGTTGACATAAGCATAAAGTGCTTGCTGATTGGCTGATAGTCATGGGCTTATGTTTATGTTTATGCCAACATGTCCTCACTGCACACAATAGCGACATGAGCATGAACATAAGAAGAACGCAAGGTTTTGATATTGTTTTGCTTATGCTTCTGTCATGGCTGTCCTCACTAGAGCATAAGCTTCTTTTATTATGCTTATGTTTATGCTTCTGTCATGGCTGTCCTCACTAGAGCATAAGCTTCTTTTATTATGCTTATGTTTATGCTTCTGTCATGGCTGTCCTCACTAGAGCATAAGCTTCTTTTATTATGCTTATGTTTATGCTTCTGTCATGGCTGTCCTCACTAGAGCATAAGCTTCTTTTACTATGCTTGTGCTTGCGTCGCTAATGAGGACCAGGCTTTAACTTCAACCAGAACAAAACACTGATCAGTGAAAAATGGTGAGAGAGAAATTTTCATGTCGGTACAAGTACTTTTTGTTTTTTTTTTTCCAATATCTGGATTGACGACTTCCGTTGCATTGAAGTGATGACTGACATCGATATACAATAGTGGATATTTCATTCACCACTGATTACATATTGCAGTAGCAATTTTACATGTGATGGCAAGAAATGTGAACACTGCAACCACCATTATGGTACAGTTCGGTCAAACGTTGAAAATCATCTATAGAGAAATGTGGCCCTTCACAGTAACTTGCAGATGGATTAACCTGCTGGTAAACTTTGTTTTGCACAAGGTAGTTTGTTAACTTTCCTGTCAAACCTTACCTAAATATCATTTGGTGAAGTTGGTTTCAACAATGCTCTATATCGTCTATGAAGTATACCAAGCTGCAGAAGAAACATTTATATTGGATCAGCACTTCCGAGCCGGTATGAAAGACAACCGTGCGACAAACATAACCTTCATAAAAGCCGCAGGAAAGATATGCTTATAGCTTTGTACGTGAAATGAATGAACCACATTTCCTGTAATTTAGACAAACTACCGCAAGATATGGTTTCACTTCCGGCTACTGTCAGCACAGTCGGGGAGCTCCCGTTCAGTGTCTGAATGAACTTGATGTAGTTTATTTATTATTTGGTTTCGAATTTTTGTGCCAGCTATGAAGGATTTTTATAAACCAGTTAGAATTTGAGAGGGCTTCGACCCGTGTTTCCGCTTCTGTATCCGGACCGGGTCTCGTGCAAAACCTTTGATACGAAAATGTGTTTGAATTACATGAAAATGAACCTGTAGAGGGAACGCATTTTCATATGAGTCTGGTTTGGCGTAGTCTCTTCCGCAGCCGTTTTTTGGGATGTCACGCAACGCTTCCCCCAAAGAAACGGCTGCTGTTGCATACCACAAAACGACTGCGGAGGAGACTAGGTTTGGCGCGAACCCGCAGGAAGTACTCCCCAAAGTTTTTGGTAGTAGGAGTTTGAGGCCCGCGCTCTGGAACCCTTGCCTTATCTCAGACCTGAGCCAGAAAACGTTACACCATTTCACATCTCTAAAGAAGTACATGGCTCTAACACATGACCGCAGCTAACTAGAAATGGCTGCCATTAGCGTAAACATTTGAGAAGGGCTTCCACTCAAAACAGCTCAAAGACCACCATACCCTTAACTGGAGGCCGTACGTTCCTAAATAACCCATATAAGAGAGTAATCCCCCAGAGGGAAGGGAAGGGAGGGTGGAGGGGGGGGGGGGGGG